GTTATCATAGACCCAAGAATTCAATGTAGGAAGAAAATAGTGTTCCCAGCTTGTTCTATCAGTAAAGCAAAAACATTCTTTGAAAACTCTTAGGAGACTCTTTTTTGTTCTATTGGTCAGAAGTATTAGCCAGGTGCAAAAGTAACGGCAGTTTTTGCCATTAAAAGTTATTTCACCATTACTTTTAATAGCAAGAAACGCAATTACTTTTGCACCAACCTAATATGTTTTCCATCACTAGATGCAAAGGAAGCTTGAAAAGCAATATGCAGCTTTTCCAGCATGGAGAGCAGAAGGCATTCAGATAGGAGACCAGCAATAACTGTCACATAAACCAACTGACAGTCTACAGATACCTGGTCTGTAAGAATGTTGAAGGCATGGTGATTTGGGCAGAGAACAAAAGAGAAACAGAGAGGTGGAACTCTTATTGGGCACCTACTATGTGTGAGGCAGTGAGCCTGCTAGTTCTATACATCATCTCATTTCATCTTCCCAGTAGCCCTCTGAGGTGAGCATCAGCATTTCCATTTTTGCAGAAAAGAAAACTGTGGTTCAGAAAATTTTGAAATCGCATTCTTGTACAAAGGGCTACTGAATGATGAAGACAGTAATAAAACTTAAATGTGTCAAAATCCAGACACCATGCTCTTTCTAGTAGTCAAAAATGATTATTATTAGACCTAGGAGATCATTCATGGTTGACTTATTTCCCTAGCAGCCACTCTTCGTAGGAAGATATTTTATTCTAACAGTGTTCACCAAAACTCAGAGCACTTCACCAAAATCATATATCACTCCATGGCTGTGGCTATGGGAGTAGCTGAAATGCCTTAGTTCCATCACAAACGTCATGAGATGCAGAGCCTGGTTAAAAAAATACAACATGCAGTTAAAACGGGAATGTGTGCTGGGTGCGGTAGCTCATGCCTGTAATCCCAGTACTTTGGGAGGCCAACATGAGCAGATCACGAGGTAAGGAGTTCAAGACCAGCCTGGTCAATATGGTGAAACCCCATCCCTACTAAAAATGCAAAAATCAGCTGGGCGTGGTGGTGTGCACCTGTAGTCCCAGATACTGGGGAGGCTGAGGCAGAAGAATCGCTTGATCCCAGGAGGCGGAGGTGGTAGTGAGCTGAGATCCCACCATTGCACTCCAGCCTGGGCGACAAGGGCGAAACTCCATCTCAAAAACAAACAAACAACAACAACGGGAATGTGACACAACAAGCCTTGCCCCTGCCACAGTAAGTGGGATTCCTGGACTTCTTTTTTTTTTTTTTTTTTTTGAGACGGAGTTTCGCTCTTGTTACCCAGGCTGGAGTGCAATGGCGCAATCTCGGCTCATCGCAACCTCCGCCTCCCGGGTTCAGGCAATTCTCCTGCCTCAGCCTCCTGAGTGGCTGGGATTACAGGCGCGCGCCACCATGCCCAGCTAATTTTTTTTGTATTTTTAGTAGAGACGGGGTTTCACCATGTTGACCAGGATGGTCTCGATCTCTTGACCTCGTGATCCACCCGCCTCGGCCTCCCAAAGTGCTGGGATTACAGGCGTAAGCCACCGCGCCCGGCCGATTCCTGGACTTCTTACGGCGAATGTTATCCTCTTCACTAAGAATCATTGGCTAAATTGTATTTGTTGGTGATAAGCACAAGCAGGAATGCAGCTCAATTATTTGCAGCTGACGTCAGAAATTAAATCAGCTTTGTGTCTTCAGATCTGCCCTTGCAGACATGAGTTTCCAGATATAATCCTGAGAGATTTTTTTTTTTTTTTTTTTACAGAGAAGAAATTCCATTGGTGGAGGTTGGCTTATCACTGAGGGAAGGCAAATCTTTTATCAAAAGTTTCCACAAGCAAAGGAAAATTTAGCTAAGAAGAAACAATGTAATTCAAAAGTCTGCCCCAGAACAAAAATAATTTTTATAATCTGAATTGTATCTTCTTCAACCTCATCAAATTTCCCTTGAACTAATCTAATGCTTTATATTCCTGTTGGATTTCTAAAATTTAAACTCGCCAGTTGTGTTTTATGAAAGCAAAGGAAAGAAAATTAAAAATTCAGTCTACTCAACAAAACATATTGTGCAAGACAAAACATATTTGAGATTCAGGTTTCGCTCTGATAAAATGTAATGGTTATAATAACACAAATTAGCCAATATCAGGAAGATCTCAAATTATTAAAAAGAATCCATCACCTGCAGTGAAAGAATGTTCTGCACAATAAAAATACAAAATAGGATTTTCTAATTTGTATATGCTTAGGATAATAGGAATTACTGAATTTATTAATCGATGGAAATAAGCACTGGTCCATTTGCCTATGGCTCTGAAGTAAGCCTGATGAGGTGGGAATGAGGATACCAACCCCTGAGAGAGATTCAACTCCTTCAAAATGAAGAAAAAAGAGATCTTTGAGTATTAAAACTGTCTTAAAAAAAATAAAAAGGAAGAGAACTATTTTCAGCCTGTTTAGAACAGAGATTGGATTTGAACCAAGTTTGTGCATCACTCAAATCCAATGAACTTGGCTCACAACACCACCATGCTGACACTTGACTACTTGGTTTGAGTTCCAGCCAGCAAGAGTAGCCCCAGAGACAGGTATCAAACTCCAGCAGAGCCACCCCCATAGACCTCATGTGTGGCAGCCACTGCCAGAATGAGAAAGTTCAGCGTGTGCTCTGGCCTTACAGGATCTGTTTAAGCTCTGGCTCCCCTCAAGGCTGCCTGGCAAGCAGAGCACAGCCTGAAACTGCAGGAGAGCCGTTCCCATAGCCAGTGAACTTGGAGTCATGAGAGACATGAGATGAGGAAAAACCCAGCAAATAAGAGTTTTCACCTCTCCTCTTCCTCTGTAGACAATTCTGATACACCGTGGCTCTGTACAACCTTCCTAAAGACATTCTGCAAGATAAGCAGCCAGCCATGTGTATGAAAAGCTACGGCCAGTTCAGTCATGTATCCACTTGTCTTTTACTCCAGGTTTCCTGAGACTGCGCCCCTATCCTCATGAAAGCGCTAGATTGTAAGTTCTTGCCATGCTTCATTTCCTGAGGAATCCATGTTGATACAAAGAAATAATAATCATACTTGCTCCCAGTAATTGTTTATGAGGTGGGAGAGTTGGGGCAGGGCATTAATGCTAGGCATTCATGAGGTCTAAACAGCATGGGAATGAGTCTGGCAGAACCCATGGATTCTAAGGAGGTCTAAGTCTGAGCCAGTCGGAAGTAAATAGGCTAACCCCAATCCTATGAAAATGTAGGTGGAAATGAGAATCACACTTTCCCATGCCCTGTTAAGATAGATCACAGAAAGGGCAGGTGTGCTCCTGGGAGGTTGTGTTACATTTAAGCTCTCAAGTAACTCTGAAGAGGTACATTTTATTAGAAATAAGAACAGATCACGCTTTCACAACAAATCAGGGGAAGGAAGGAAGAAGACAGGACAAATGTGAAGAAGAATTTCCTTACAAATCTTGAGGTCTGGGCACTCTAACATGAATTCTGAGAGGGGTTAGAAGGAGCAGAGTTCAGCCTTCAGTAGACATAAATATTTTGGAGAATCTGCCTGAGAAATAAAGGAAATTTCCACAGAATTGCAGCATCCCTTATTTCAGCCACCCTTTACTAGTTCTGACTCTGTACAAATTAAAAGTGCATTAAAAAGCTTATGTTAGTGGTCATCAAAATTATGATTTCAATGTTAAGTGTGCTACCTAAGAGTTACGTCGTTAGGCATGCCATTTAGACATTTTGAGTCTCAGTGTCTCTGGTGGACTAAAATAATAGATTGTTAGCAGAATGTGAGGAGCTAATGTGAGAAGCCTTTTTAAATTGCTACCTCAGTTAGAATGTTTCTGGCCATGGCCGGGCACTGTGGCTCACACCTGTAATCCCAGCTCTTTGGGAGGCCAAGGCAGGTGGATCACAAGGCTAGGAGTTCAAGACTAGCCTGACCAACACGATGAAATCCCATTCTACTAAAAATACAAAAATTAGCCAGGTGTGGTGGTGTGCTCCTATAATCCCAGCTACTCAGGAGGCTGAGGCAGGAGATTCTCTTGAACCTGGGAGACAGAGGTTGCAGTGAGCCAAGATCATACCACTGCACTCCAGCCTGTGGGACAAAGCGAGACTCCATTTCAAAAAAAAAAAGTTTCTGGCTACAAGGTACAAAGCATCCAAAATATGAAGGCATTTATTATGTCTCATGACGAGAAGTCCATAAGTAATTTCCAGCATTGGTGAATTCTGTAGCTAAACAGCATCATCAGTATACCTTAGCTTTTCACAGTTATTTTGGATTCCTCCTGAGTTTGCCACAGCTAGAAACACCATATCCTCACACAATTGTGTTAAAAACTAGTTTGGGAGAGGGGCTTCTTCTATGTTTTCCTCTTTACAGCAGAGGAAGAAACATTTCCCAAAGGCCCAACAAACCTCCCCCCAAATCTCACTGGTCAGAACTGGCTTACCTGTCCCACTCCCAACCAATCATAGGTGAGGGGATAGGATTACTCAAATTGGTTGAAAGCACTTATCCCTTGGTCTAAGGGAGGACTCCTCTCTCACCCTACAGTCCCTCTCACCAAACACAATCAGGGTTCTGCTGGCACTGAAGTGGGGAATGCTGTTGACAAGGAAACCAAAAGGACTGCCAAAATTAAAAAGTGTTAAACAGATAGTATTTTTTAACACACTGTATGAAAAGATTTAGAGGGTTTAAAAAAATGAATAACAGCAACTTTTTGTCCTTAAGAATCTTAAAATCCAACCCAAAGAAACCACAAGGCAAACACGCTTCAATGAAAGAAGGAAGATTTATTCTGAGAATATGTTCCTTGTGAGTCTGACTTCCTACGATTTCCAAAGCCATGATCAGGATAATAGATGTGTAATGTGATTGCTATCCAATCAATCCGTTCTGTAAAAATGTAAGAAGGGAGGTTTTCTTCCTCCTCTTCCGGGGACGTTGTCTGCAGACACTCAAAATGGTCCAGCATTTGACATGCCGACCAAGGCTTTCCTACAGCGTAGCCTCTCTCAACACTAGGCTGTCCGGAACCCTTGCTAATAGAATTGTTTATCTTTATACCAAGAAGGTTGGGAAAGCACCAAAATCAGCACATGGCGTGTGCCCAAGAAGGCTTCAAGGGGTTCATGCTGTAAGACCTAAAGTTCTTATAAGTTTGTCCAAAACAAAGAAACATGTCAGCAGGGCCTATGGTGTTTCCATGTGTGCTAAATGTGCTCGTGACAGGATCAAGCCTGCTTTCCTTATCGAGGAGCAGAAAATCCTTGCGAAAGTGTTCAAGGTGCAAGCACAGAGTCAGAAAGCTAAATAAAAAATGAAACTTTTTTGAGTAATAAAAATAAAAAGATATTAATATATAAAGGAGCAAATGAGTGGCATGTCCTCCCTACTAGAAATAAGTTCCAGCTTATAAAATTATATTCCTGATTGGTAAAGATTTAAGGAAAAGTTGAGTTCTGCTCTTCCTCTGTAATCGGGTTTTGATTTGCATGAAAATTTGTATTGTGCAGCTCTCAGAAATTACAGCCCTTCCAACATGTTAGTGAGGATACATGAAGGGAGGGGCTAATTTTATCTTTCATTTGACATATCTGAAACTATTGATAGATACGGTACAGGATTTCAAAGAATTAAAGGCAGAGATAGCTGTTTAGGAATTTATAAACAAACTGTTTAACTGTGCAATGAAGAATAGATAAAATTTCCCTGGGGATA